TGTCTTGAAAAAAGTGGATCAACATCTGATCATTATTGGTGTATCCAATCATCCTTCAGATAAACATTGTTAGATGTGCATTGGGGCAACTGGTTCCATTGTACTTCTCAAAGTAGGGCATCTTAAATTTAAGTGAGAGCACCAAGTCGGGAACTAAGACTAGTTCTCTTGCATCTATCTCATTGTGAGAGCTTTGTCATCTCATTCTCTGTAATGCATCTTTGCACCATTATTTCAAATTCTTCGGGATCTCATCGTTGGCTCCTTTCATCTTATCGGGATTTGACCTACTGTGATCAGTATAATGATCCCAATGATACAACACAGTTGCTCAATTTTTAGTGGCAGAGTAGCTTGATGGGTGACTTGGAATCTTGCGGGGTGCAATGATTATTTGTGGATTAACGTGTGCCATAACACATTCAAAGGCTTCTTTGGTCAAAGAAATCTTCTCTTTACCTCTTTCCTGGTTAAGCCCAACCAATTTTTCTACCATTTGGTCAACTAGGTCTTTTTGGTGTTGCAAGATACGATCCATGGTGGCATTTTGTGCCTGTTTCATTTTATCCTTCCACTCTGCTTGCATCTTCTGCAAACTCTTTTCTAGTTCTTTCTTTAGCTTCTCAAATTTGGCTTCCATTCTCAGTACTGTGTGAATGAAGTTGCACAATTAGAAGCATTTCCTCATAGTCCTCCACGAGATAAACCCATGAATACATGATTAATGCTTGTAAAAATGCCTCAATGAATTCCATGCATAATGCGAATATGCAAATGCAGATGCAAAAAATGTGAAAATATTTAAATAAATGCAATGCAAAATATAAATGCAAAAGGTATCAATTTCTAAAAGTAACCATTTTTAGAAAGAGTTCCGTTTATCCAAAAGAGTTTTTATCTTTACAAGAGAGATCAATCTACGAATGTGTTTTATGATACGCAATCCCCAGGTAAACTATCTCCTTTTTTCTCTTTGTGTTTATTCATACCAAGCTCAGATGGTCGGATTGCGTTCTTCCTTGTTATGAAAACTCTTTTCCATTTTAATGGTCGCTCTTCTATTATGATGGTTACTTGGTTAATCAACACATTTCTTTTATTTATGATGATCATGTAAGGCCAAACAATAAAAAAATCAAATATAGAAAATGTGTCAATATAAAAGAATTCAATTATCAAACAAATATCAAGAAAATAAAATAATGCATGTAAAGATAAGAGGTTTAGAGTCGTTTCTCCTTTATGTATACTTATTTTGGGTACCTATTGACGGATAGAGGTTCGGTATGGCTATACCTAGGGTGACCGTTCTACGGTTCATTATATGTATAGTTTTGACTATAATAGGAAAAGGGTACCCGAATTGTCCTTGTTGGTGCCTCCTTAGACTGCCAAACCTTTAATCCTGGCTTATTATAGGCTCGTGCGGATCGAGTTCAATTCGAGAAGATACATTCCCTTATGTCCATGCGGAGAAACAATTTATCTCACGTAGACATAAGGTTACTAGCTAAAACCCATGCGGAGAAACAAATTATCTCACGTAGGCTAAGTTTTCACCTCAACTTAAAGGGAACAAAGCTCGTAAGTGAGCTTATGATATGCGAATGTACGTGCTGTGTGTGAGGAGAAACTCACAAACCTTTAAAACAAGACCAAAAAACAACATTCTCACAATTTCCAAAATCTGTTTAAATCTGAAAATCACTAAAATAAAAAATCAATTAGTTACAAATAAAATATTGATTAATATGTTAAACTCAAAATAAATAAAAGGATCATAAATTAAATACAATTTAAGTTTGTAATTCCCAAATATAAAACAACGTATAATCGTTCATGGCCTGACTGTCGAAGTCCCCAGCAGAGTCACCAAGTTGTCATAGCGTTTCCCGTAGGGGAATCCGTTAGACTTAAAAAGTTGGTTTTCGGGGAAAAGCGATGAAATAAGATTTTTAAAACAATTTGATTTTGGAGTCGCCACCAACCTTTAAGTTAGGTAGGTTGAAAACCTTAAATAACAAAAAAAAATGGTCTGCTTTTTACCAAAGATTAATTTTTAAGAGTTCGGGAGTCGGTTACGTGTGGGGAAGGGTTAGCACCCCCACAATGCCCAAATTTTGGTACCTAAATGATTATATGTTGTTTAAATATTGGGAATTACAAACTCGAAAATGTATTTAAATTATGATCATTTTATTCATTCGAAATTATTCTAAAAAAATGTCAATTTTTGGATAACTAATGTCCTTTTGTGTGAATAATCTTCGGGAAAACACTTCCTTTACAGTTATGAGACATTCCCATAGATTCCCCCCACAAAATACATTTTTTTACATTTTTGTAAAGACAGAAATAAAATAAAATAAAAGTAAAAATGAATTGAAAATAATCAAAATAAATAAACATGTAACAAAGAGAATTAATCGAATACGAAACAAATGTTTATGCGAAGAATCCTTGAAAAGACACATTCCCTTATAGTCGGGAGATGTCTTCATAGATTTTCCCGCACAATGAAATTTTCCTTTTTTATACATACATGCATGAAATTATAACAATTGATAAAACAAAGTTACAAATTTGGACCAATATACACATTTACAAAAATGATAAATTAAAATAAAAAAATACATGCTTATTAAAATAAAGGACTAAATAGCAAAAAAAAAATTTACAGGACTAAAATAACAAAAACATATATTTAAAGGATTAAAACAGTAAAAACAGAAAGTTAAAGGACTAAAATATTAAAAACAAAAAGTTAAGGGACTAAATTGGTAAAAATAGAAACTTAAGGGATTAAAACATAAATTAAATAAACCAGGTTCAAAAAATAAAAAAACTAAATAATACAGGTACTAGAAACGGAAATAACCCATAAACAATATTAAGGACTAAAATAAAATAAAAGTAAAACAAGCAAGCCATATTCAGTATTTAACCCAAGATATGAAAGTGGTGATCAAAATGCATTCAGAATCAAAGTACATGGATTACAAACATAAATAAAACATGCATTTTCTTTACACAGTAAATAGTGACTAAAATGAACCAACAATAAAATATATTGCATATGTATAAATAAATTAAAGTTTGATGGCTTAGACACAAATATAAACACAAAAATATTTAAAAGTAAATAATGACGAAATTACAACAAAAATAAAATAGGAGCTCAAATTGTACTGAAGAAATTTCATTAAAGTAACCAGATTACAACCTTTACAAAAGTTTGAGGGCCTCAACTGTGATTGTCTCCAAAAAATGAAAAACACGAGTATGAGATCACAAAATAACAAGGACCTATACTGCTAATAACCCTTAAATAGCAGCTTTGTCTCCCTTCTTAGCCCAAAACGACGCCGTCTCCTTTGGTATTTATGTTACGTTAAGGGTTTTTTAGAACCCTATTTCCATTACCCTCATCAGTCGTTCCCCATTTCTTTCCCTTTCCCCTTTTTTCATTTTGCTTCCTCGCCGAGGAAAAAATCGTAGCTCCCCGACCACCGTAGATCGGTGGCCACGGGGAGCAAAATATCTCTATGAAACCCTTTTTTTCTACCCTTCGAAACAACCCAAAAACAAAAACTAGCCCCCTTTTCAACCAAAAATCAGAACTCAAACCCCCCAAGGTAAGGCTTTTACCTTCAATGTCGGAGTATTATAGCTCCAGTGAGGCAACGATGGAAGATGAACCAAAAGGTGAGAGCTTTCCTTTTTCTTCGTTTTGTTTTTCTTTTCTCTCTGTATTTTAATGGTTTTTGTATCTCTCGATTTTTCTCTTTTTTACTCCTCCTCCCCCGAATGGTTTCACCCCAATCTCTTTTTTATCATCTTAGTTTTGGTTGATAGCATGATGAAAACCTGTTGATAGGGCATGGGATTTCTGATTTTGGGTATGGTGAAATCTCGAATTTTAGGGATTTAGGGTATGGTTTTCTGATTAGGTTAGGTTTTGTATGTTTTGTTTATTGCATATGATAGTTTAGGTGCCCTGTTTGCAAGTTTCGGTGATGATAGCAGCGTGGGAGTGATCGGCAGTGGCTCACGCGCTAGTTGGATGAGTGCGTACATCTCACGCGCCGGTGGGAGCTGAAACGGCGGCGATGGCTGATTAGGGTTTAAAAACCCTAATTTGTTTAGGTTACAAACGGGCAGGGTTTGGATCGGACCTTGGGCCTGATACTGGGTCGGGTCTGCTGTTGGGCTTGTTTGTAATCTGGGCTGCTGGTTAAGTTGTTTGGGATTCAATTATGCCCTGTAAAACTATAATTAATAATAATAATAATAATAATAATAGTAATAATCATAATAATAATAATAATATTTTTTCGACCCGAACAAAAACGGGTGTCTACAAAAATGAAGGAAAAATGGGTTATGTACATCACATGTCACTGAACTATACTCAAATGATTATTTTGATCATTAATTTTTCAAAAGTTATAAAATGGTGATTTAATTTATCAACTGTTACAAAATGGTAACTAATGATCGTTTTGTAACTTTTGAAAGCTCAGTGATCTCTTATGTAATTTAATGGTCGTCATTAAATTTCGTGAACGAGACTATAGCAATACAAAGCATGCCCATAATTTCAGAACTCACAAAGAGTGACAATAGTAGGTGGTACAAAGCATGCCAACAACGGAACGATTTGGTGATTTCATAATCATTCGTAAAATTTTAATTTACGAGGCTTGCGTTTTCAAGAATATTAAAGACGAATGGTGCAAGTGACCGAGCATACGTTTTAATTCGTTTAGAGAAGATCAAAGTGCTGCCGCATTAGATTGATACGCCCCATGTATTCATTCCTCGATGGAAAATGACCCTTCAACCAATAGGGAAGGGAACTCGTGAACCCTGTCTCGTGTGTTTTTTTCCGTTCGAGCTTCTATATAATTAAAAAAAACTATTTGTTAATTATTGTAAGCTAGTACGCAATTAACAAAAGGCCAAAACCCTTTTCACATTGTTCATTTATTCTTCTTTAATTAAAATAACTTTCTCTTCAACCTTGCTGTTTGGACGGACAATACTCCACAGATTTTCCAGTCGTTTAACTATTTCTTTTCTTCCTTCTTCTCTTCTTTCTTTTTCTCTTTTTTCTTCTCCTCCTTAGCAGGCCCGATCGATATTATATCCACTTTGCCAACTTTCTTCAGTTTCTTCACCACCGCCACTGCGTCCATTTCCCCTATCACCGTCAGCTTCTGATCCTTTAGATCTACCGCTATATAATCATCCCCTGTCCACATCAAATAAACGAATCTCTGTATCTGCTCTGATTTGTAATATTATCCATAAAAAATATTGATATTGTGGGCAAGGTGTATGATAAAATACCAAAGATATCTGCAGCAGCTTCTATGGATTTTTTCTTGGTTTTTTCATCTGTCATGGTTAGAACTTACAGTACCACCTTCTGCTAGTACAGTGAAACAAGATTACTACATACGGTGTGGGGAAGGAGAAAGGAAAGAAGAAGAATAACATCAACATGATAAAATAGCGTTTTATTGAATCGTTAGGAACAAAGTGGGGAAAGGATCACCTGAGCCCATTTTTCTGTGCAAATTGAGCTGATTAGAGGAAGTAATTGAGCTTTTGAGGACCAGTTGCCCTTTATAAAGTGTGAAATTTGTGGTACGCACTCTGGTTTACATTGGAGACGTTTGATCGAATGAAGAAACTTGCTTTGAATTTGAGGTTTATAGATGAAAACATAATCTTACATGACTTTATTTTTTAGAAGGATCAAATACAAATACATTCAATTCAATTGAAAATATAAATTTAATTTTTAAAATAATACTAATTATAAGTTAAAGAGTCTAATTATGCATATAATTAGAATTTTTTAATTACATTATAATTCTTTACGAATTGAAAAGTCTGAATAAAAGTCTTTAATTATATACAATTTAATTAAACTTATAAATTAAGATAATTATCCCGACACATCTTAAATGTGTAATTACATCAAATTATACAATGATTTTCCACATACTTTGATAATTTAGAAACATTTGTTATTTTTCACACATCATATTATCAAGAGAAAATAACTTCAGTGACCGAAAATGCCTTATAATATACGATTTTAATCAACTTTTTTTGGATTTGCGAAAATGACCAATAAATTCGCAACGCGAACTCCAATTTCGCAACACAGTTTCCAAATTCGCAACACGGAATTTCAATTCGCAACGCGAATTTCTTTTTCGCAACACAAGTTTCCTTTTCGCAACAAGATTTTCTAAATCGCAATACGAATTTTGTTTTCGCAACTCGATTTTCGAATTCGCAACACGAATTTTAATTTCGCAACACAAATGTTTTGGGTATATAAACTACGCAGCAGCATCAACTCATTCCATCTCCATCTATCACTCTCTCCGGCAACATCCGTTCCTATATCCAACGACATCCTTCACCATCTCTAATTTTTTTTTACATAATTTTATTTCTATATAATTTTGTCAATGATTTCTCTCCCAAATTATCAACTATCAACTTAATAAGGTATGTTTTTCTCTAAGTTAGTGATGATATCTAGTTTATAGCTCGTTTATTTAGTAAATTAATTTACAATTTGTAGAATGAAATCATCTAATGTTGATCATGTTTGGATAGATTTGTGTTTTGGAGGGTCATGGGAGAATGCTCATGGTATTTTACAATATATGCCTTTACCCATGAATCTTCAACTAAAATTGTCATTAAAAAGTGAACTTATGAAACTCTAATGTTACATGTTGCAAAGAAATTGAATTTAGAGCCCCTAAGTGGATTTAGGCTATCTTATCAGAGAAAAGATAAAGTTTATTTGTTAACCGACAATGAAGATGTTGAACGATTCATTGCTTACATTAGTGTTTCGCAAGAAGATGATGTTACATTGTATGTTGTTGAACCTATAAGTAGTGAAGTTGGGTCAGTAGCGGGTAGTAATCAACTAAGTTCTTCAACCCTAGTTTATGGTGCTCACAATGTACAACGTTGTTATCAACCTCAAAATTTAATGGTTCCACCACAATTTCATCACCAAGAAAATTTTGTTTCACCATATTTCCAATACCAAACACAATATCAAACACAATCTCAAAACCCACAACCTTTCCCTAATCCAAATCCCAATCAACTTTCAGCACCAAATTCTGATTTTCGTATTGACCAGTTAGACGATGATGAGGCAACAGAAAAAATTGTGAGTACTAGTCAGTATTCGAAATTTGATCTTGGTCAATACCCGGACTTTGATCTTGGTCAATACTCGGATTTTGATGATGTTTCAGAAGAAGAAACAGACCTTGCGTGTAATGATTTTGATATTGGTCAATACCCAAATTTTGATGATGAAATAGCCACTGTCGAGGAAGATGTTGTTGATGATAATGAGGAGGAAATTACGACTGTGAGTGAACATATTGAACATCCATTCTGTAATTCATATAACCCTGAAGAAGAAAAAGAATAAGAAGAAGACCCCGAAGAAAAGAAAAAAAAGAAAATACCACGGGAGTATAATTGGAATATGCCAGAATAACTTCAGATACCGGAAGAAGAGTTAGTAAAGATAGCAGTTGATTGTTACACAAAAGTTATTCGTATAAAAAATGATTATTTTGATACAAAGGAAGACTTGAAGATATCTTTGTATACGAAATGTGTGGAAGATGGCTATCAACTAAAAGTTAACAAATCAAACAAAGATTGTTTCGAAACAAGGTGTATGATTGACAAAAATTATACGTGGCGTATGATTGCAAAGAGGATAAAAGATTGTGAAATGTTTCAAGTTAGGACTTTTATTGATAAACATACATGTTCAAGAACCCAAGTTTTTCCTCACCATAGATAGACAAACAAAAAAGTGTTGGGTGGTTTTCTGGCTGAGTTAATGTTTTTGAATGGCAGAGTATATCGGGGACATGAAATTATGACTGACATGAATGCTCGGTTCAAGATTAGTATCTCATATTCTCAAGCTTGGAGAGCCAAATGTTATGCCTTGGAATTGTTGAAGGGGTCTCCAGAAGCATCGTTTGCCCAACTTCCGGCATATTGTCACAATTTAAAGATGAAAAATCTTGGGTCGGTAACTTATATCAAAATAGATAGAGATGGACTCTTTGAGTTGTTTATCGCCATTGGTTCTGCGGTTAGTAAATCAATATAATTTTTTTGACTCATTTTTGTTAGTTACATTCATTTCACATTTAAATGATTATATTTCTTGTGTATATTATTTTGTAGATTCGTTCATTTATTACTTGCATGCGCCCAATTATTATAGTTGACGGAGCACATTTGAAAGATCGATACATTGGAGTAAACTTATTAGCAGTAGCCATGGATGCTAACAATGGGATACTGTCAATAGCTTACGGGGTTGGCAAATCTGAAACATGTGATTAATGGACATGGTTTATGGGGCATCTTAGGGATTACATATGTCCTATTAGCAATCTGATAATCATATCCGATAGGGCAAACTCAATTGACAACGCTATTAGAAGGTGTTTCCCAGATGCTTTTCATGGACTTTGTGGTGTTCATTTGTACAGAAATCTAAAATCAAGGTATGTTGGTAAAAAAAATCACAAATGGACATACTGGAAGGCTGTAAAAGCTTATTAGGAAGTGGATTTTAATAAGCATATAAATTGTTTAAGACATGTTTTGCCTCAATGTGCTCAAACACTAGAATATGTCGGGTTTGAAAGACGGTCAAGAGTACATCAACTTGGCGTAAGATACGGTTTCATGACGTCTAATAGTGCAGAATCAATCAACGCTCTAAGTCGTCATTCCCGAAAATTACCCATTACTATGTTAATGGAGTTTTTTCGAGCCTCTATTCAACAGTGGTACTACAAGAAAAGAAACCATGCAGATATTATTTCTTTAAATTCGTAACTTATCATATTTAATATATTTTACTAAGTATTATTTATTTAAATTTACATGAACGTTGGAACGTCGTGTTACACCATGAACTGAAAAAAAGATAACGAAACTTGTTGTGAAGTCAACATCATGGAGAGTTGAACCATGTTCAAACACTTTGTTTGAAGTATTGAATAATAACTTAAATGGGCTTGTCGATATAAATGCAAAGACGTGTAGTTTTATGAAATGGCAAACATCTGGTTATCCGTGTGGCCATGTTATAAAAGTTGCTCTTCATCTAAACCAAGATGATTCAAGCGCATACGCTATGGATTGCTACACTACAGAAGTATATCGACATACTTATGTCGAGATTGTCTACCCTATTCCACATCCTTCTGAGTGGGACATACCAGATGACTTACAAATAGTTTTACCACAAGTCATGAACAGCAGGCTACCTGGCCGACCAAAAAATCACGATCGTATACCGTCTAAGGGTGAAGAGAAGAGGATATCAACATATAGTCGGTGTAAGGAAAATGGTCATACAAGGTTCACCTGTGGATCACCAGTGCCATCACAATCATCTTTTCCTCTACCAAAATATGGATCCTCATCAAAATCCAAAGCTCATACAGTGCCAAGCAAAAGGAAATCAAAATCGCAATCAAAATCAAAATCCCAATCATAATCGGCTTCACCTTTTGGGACTTATTAACTTAGGTGATTTTTAAATGCAAACGTTGTATTATGTGTATTTTATGTGTGAATGCATACATTTTCAGTTAGACATGCATTAGTAACTTGAGTTTGAACATTGCTATGATTTGTTCTGTTGAGTTTGAACATGTATTTTATGCGTGAGTTTTAAATGCAAACGTTGTATTATGTGTATTTTATGTGTGAATGCATACATTTTTAGTTAGACATGCATTAATAACTTGAGTTTGAACATTTTCAGTTGAACATGCATTAGTAACTTGAGTCAAATTCGCTACTCGAAAGTCAAATTCACGTTGCGATTTTCGCGTTGCGGTTGTTGCGAAAGTCAAATTCGCGTTGCGATTGTTGCGAAAGACAAATTCGCAATGCGAAAGTCAAATTCGCAACGCGAAAATCAAAATGGCAACACAAATTTGACTATCGCAATGCGAATTTGACTTTCGCGTTGCGAAAGTGTACCTTTAACAGTTCTTTTTTGCCTTCAACGTAATACAGATTGAAAATTAAACAACAAATCAATTAAACAACATTGTAAATGAGTTGCTATATATATGTAAAACATTTGTTCACAGTATATCCAAATTCTCCTAACAATAGGGAGCTTACATCCAAATACATCAATTTGTTCACGCAACTCACTTTAGTAACCTGCAGAAACATTATGGCCATGAGATTTTCTACACATCTAAAACCAACAACCATCAAATTATTGAATTCTAGGTACTTAACCAAACATTTTCAAACCAACAAAAAGTATATATGTTAACAACACTTGCTCAAACTTACCAATAACAAATGGTTGTTTATGCACACTTTCAACACGCGTATACAGGTAGGCAACGTCTCGAATATATCGCTCTAGCCATAAAATGCCAAAACCACAACCCTACTGCACCTCTATCTCTATATGTGGGAGGTAGAAACTGTTTACCTCCTGTCGTCAAACGTTCCAAGCACATGCATACAAGAGGACCACAATCCCCTCTGGCTCCCGCCGTTTGTTGTGGCGCTGTCTCGTCTCTCATCATTGTAACTTTGAACTTT